AGACACAAGATGTCCAGAATCTGGTTGGGTGGCAGTTCAAGGAGGCACTCACGAAGCTTTTCTGTCAGGCCAGCAGAGAAGACGGGCAGCCTCAGCTCATCAGCAGCTGGCCGGCAAATGACTGTCAGCACCTCCTCAAAGAGCCGTGGGAACTGTCGCAGCTTGGAGTAAGTCTGAAACACGGTGCTGATGAGAGCCTCCTGGGGCTTCTTCGTACGTGGCTCGCAGACCTCGGCATCAATCCAAGCCGAGGCCACTAAGTCATCCAGGTCTGGCTCTACTATAAGGTGGTTTAATGACATCAAGAGTTTGAGACACCTGAACCAAGCAGGGATGGAAGCTTGGGAGTGACTCATCAACATCTGTGCTAGGCTGCGGTAAAACCCAAACTGCACCTCCTTGTGCCGGATACGGTCACTGGCAACGTTATAGATATCGCTGCTCAGCACTGAGTTCAGAAGCTGTTCCAAAGTAAGCAGCTCTGTGCTCCAGTCCGCAGGGGAGAGCGTATCCTCCCTCATGCCCTGCTGTAGGCCAGAGAGCCTGAGACAACCAAAAAGCCTGCTGAGCATGTGGAAACACACAAGGTGGTTCTCTGCCTTACAGTACGAGTCCAGAAAGAGCTTATACAGCAAGGATACAGAACCAGCCACAACAGCTCCATGGAGGGCAGGTTCACAAAAGCCATTGCCCAGCTTGGTCTGCACTGTGTTGACTGGTAGCAAAAGACTTTTCAAAGCTCCTTTCTTCTTCTCCTGGAGCTCCTGTTCTGGCAGCAGCTCCTCTTTGTAGGATGAGAAAAGCTCAGGTTGGAATAACCCAGCCTGCAGCAAAGTTTCTACTTGGTTTCGGATGTCCCTGCTCAGGTGCTGACGCACGTGGTTGTCATCTGCTTGTGTCCAGGTCCTCACAGTCAGCAAGTGCCTCAGAAGCAGACATGGCTGGAGCAAGTGACTTGTCACTTGTCCAAACACACGATTTGGGTTGGTTTGCTGCCTCTGGATCAGGAGGTACTGAGCAAAGGTAAGCTGGAGGACACTGAACAACTGGGAGCCCACAGCATCGTCAGCAGCCAGTTGCTGACATGCCAGCTTGCACAGCTTGCTGAGGAGATCAACCAAGAGCTCACACTTTGCCGTGTAAATGATGGAGAGCGAAGGAGTAGAAAGGATGCCACTGGAGCAACTCAGCACTGTGCCAATGTTTTGCTGTGTTTTTTGAGAACAGGCCTCTGATAACCTTTCATTTATGACCTGAAGATTGAAAAAAAAAAAAAAGAAGACCAGTCAATTTTTGCACACAGAGATAAAACTCATCTGTAATGGGTTTGCATGGCAAGGCTTTGGTAGCAGGGGGGTTATGGGGGTGGCTTCTGTGAAAAGCTGCTACAAGTTTCCCCTATGTCCAACACAGACAATGCCAGCCGGCTGCAAGACGGACCCGCCACTGGCCAAAGCAGAGCCCATCAGCAACAGTGGTAGCGCCTCCGTGAGAACATGTTTAAGAAAAGGAAAAAGTTATTGCACAGCAGTAGTTGCATCGAGTGAGAGGAGTAAGAATATGTGAGAGAAACATTCTGCAGACACGAAGGTCAGTGAAGAAGGAGGGGGAGGAGATGTTCCAGGCGCTGGAGCAGTGATTACCCTGCAGGCTGTGGGGGAGATGGCTGTCCTCCTGCAGCCCATGGGCAGTGGAGCAGATGACTGCCTACACCCTGCGGAGGACCCCATGTCGGAGTAGGTGGATGCCTGAAGGAAGCTGTGACCCTGTGGGAAGCCTGCACCGGAGCAGGCTCCCAGTAGGACCTGTGAACCCACAGAGAGAGAGAAGCTCACGCTGGAGCAGGTTTGCTGCTAGTGACCCCATGGGGGACTCATGCTGGAGCAGTCGGTTCCTGAAGGACTGCACCCCGTGAAGGAGACCCACGCTGGAGCAGTTCATGAAGAACTGTAGCCTGTGGGAAGGACTCACGCTGGAGAAGTCATGGAGGACTGTCTCCCATGAGCAGGGACCCCACACTGGAGCAGGGGAAGCATGTGAGGAGTCCTCGCCCTGAGGAGGAAGGAGCAGCAGAAACAACAGCGTGATGAACTGACCGCAACCCCCACTCCCTGTCCCCCTGCGCTGCTCAAGGGGAGGAGGGAGAGAAATCAGGAACAAAGTTAAGTTCAGGAAAAAAGGGAAGGGTGGGAGAAAAGGTGTTTTAAGATGTGAGTTTATTTCTCATTACTCATCTCCGAGCTGATTGGTAATAAATTACTTTTTTTCCCCCAAGTCGAGTCTGTTTCACCCGTGACGGTAATTGCTGAGTGATCTCCCTGTCCTTATCTCGACCTATGAGCCTGTTGTTATATTTTTCTCTCCCCTGTCCGATTGAGGGGGGGAGGAAAGTGATAGAGAGGCTTTGGTGGGCACCTGGCATCCAGTCAGGGTCAAACCACTACATCATCATAATGAACCAGCAACACCTTCTGTGAGCTCTGGCTGCAAGAAGGAAGCAACAGGGACCTGCCAACAGCTGCTGCTGCTGGGCCTCTCACATTGCAGGTCTCAAATGAGATGCTCCTCTGGCCAGAACTGCGTCCCTGTATTTGTTTGCACCACAGGATGAGTGAGGAAGCCGTCATTCAGTATGTGTGCTACTGGTAACAGTGTAAGACTATCCATACTTGACCCTAATAGTTGATCCTGCAGAAAGGGAGTAGGGGTAAATTTCCTCCCTTCTTGCAATGTCCCCAAAATTATGCTCCAAATAAACAACAACAAACCCACACAGAACACACATCCCACCTTTGATCCAGGAAGATATTCAGTAAGAATGTCCATGACTAAATACCACCTTTGTATTTTAAAAAGAGATGGTTTCCTGTGTTGATAACTGGAAGAACTGTTCTCTTCCCTCTTTGAGGGACACACAGTTCTAAAGAATTAATGTTTACATGAACCTGCATTTCCCTTCCTTTTCTCAAACTTTGTGTTGATTTCCCTACGGTTTTCTTCTTTGATCCCCTTTTTATTTGCTCCCTTTTCTCACCTCCAGATAATCTTGTCAGCAAAAAAAAATCAGCAGCAACTTACAAATCTGCCTCTATTCCAGAGCTAAAAACCTCATCGCTCACCTTACACCTTGTAGTGGATGGGTCACCTCCTCAGCTCAAGCCCCACCAGACCAAAACAGATCCTTAAATTCTTTCCACTGGATCCTCTACCACCTCTGTTCTCGGTCTTTAGGGTATTCTGGCCTATACCTCTCACCTAACCTTCAGACAGAGGTTTTCACACCCAGACCACAGTTAAATTTGGCACACTTTCTGCATAACATGTCTGAAGCACAGATTTCATCCAACCAATTCTCTGTACTTCACAACTCAATTTCTACAGGTAAAGACAATCTTCTCCTGCTTCCTTCCAACCAGATCACAACTAAAAGGGTCATTTTTCCAGTCATTTTGCCTGCCTTTACAGCCATCCACTAATTCTGCTATTTCTGTAATGGGGAAGCTGAATAAGAAGTCACACTTTCCGGTTCAGTTCCAAACTGTAACTGAAGTCTCCCCTATTCATTTTCAGCTGAGGCTAAAATAATTACATGATTAAGATCAATAATGATTCGGTGCCACCACTGTTCACAGTCATAAGAAGCTGCAGCGTCTGCTGAACATCATAGTGCACAAGTACTCAAGCCAAACAAATCGATGAGCCCCACAGTGAAAGAAAATCTCTCTCTCCCTAAGACTCCCAGGCAAAATGGCAATAAATGCAGTAAATAATACAGAAGAGCAATATATGGAACTGTGCCTTTACTTACCTATTAAAATACTTAAACCAACTCACTCTCTGATAGTTCAAATAAATTAAAGACAGAGAGGAAGATTATGATCAGAATGCTCTATTTTTCAGCCTTAGTGCTGCACAAATACAAACTGTATTGCAAAAAAGAAAAAGAGAAGTTTTTAGTAGAGGTTCTAAAAGCCGTCAGATTAATTATTATATATTTCATGTAACACCCTACATTGTGAGGCAGAGTCACGTACTGCAGAAGATACACACTGCTATCCAGCATGTTACAAAATATCCACAGTTTTAGTTACCTGTGCAACTGAAAAACTGAGACCAATTGTCTTCCCGCTCTTTAAGAGATTCTGTAGTCTTCTACTATGGATAACACTGTCTAGATACGCCCAGAGTTTCTCAACAACTTCATCCTCCAGTTCAGGTTTCTTATTGTAGTATGAAACCAACGCGTGGCTTACCCAATCGAGCAATACCTGTTAATAAAAGGGAAAAGAAATAACCTTCAATAACCCCCATGTGAAAACAAGACAAAAGCAGCACCTCTTCACAATTAGAGCGCTCTTGCCTTGAGAACTGCTCTACATCCAAGCAGAACAGGGTCTGAACAAGCAGAGAAGTCCACCCTCGTAGGTTTCAATTCCTAACAGCTTTCCTTCTAAATCCAGTGTTGGCCCTGTGCTTCCCTGCACCACCCAAAACAGCTTTCAGGAGTCAACATCCTAAGGCCCTTTCATCAGGGCATAATTCTGACAGTCAATACTGACTAGCAAATGCAGTCTTTTAAATCAAAACTTAACGAATCCAGCGGTGTTTTCACTTTCTGACAATCAGTATTCCCCTCACATCCTCCTCTTTGTATGTTTAAATCTACTACATAGAAATTCAGGTCTAGGAATTTAGACGTGTGCAAACTGGAAAAGGTTGAAACCCCCCAGTTCAAATCACCGATTTAAAAACAAAAAGATGGTGTACAGCTAGGTATAATATTCTAAGCAACTGAAATAACAAGAACTCAAAACACAGATCTCAGATGGTGCAAACCCCACAATTACTATGCTGGAAGAGCAGCACAAGACACTCCTCACTCAGGAAAACACTGAACAGACCTGCAGGAAACGGGATCAAAACAAAAACTTGAGGGGAGAGGGTGGGTTCCAAGCAGAGAACACCAAACCACCTTTCAAGCAGAAGCCTGTCAATCCACACTGCCCTCTTTGCATGTCCACTACAAGTTTAGAGCACCAGAAAACACACATCTAGCTACAGCCATTTCTCCCACTCTGAAGCTGATGTTCTTAACTATGACCAGAAGCATCAGACTTTAGAGCGTCCTCTATAGGATATAATAACCAATGTTAATGACAGGTCCAAAGACAATGGTTTCTCATCTATCTGGGAAACAGAACACATGCACTACCCTCTCTGTAAGAAAGACTCTTTCTCCCTGCACTAATGCAGATCTTTCTGCTGAAGCTACTTGAAAGACGATGTTATGAAAACATTTCATATAACCACACAGAAATCAAGAGCTGCCCACAATTCCACACCAGAGCTCTATCTGCACTACTACCTAGGGTCAAAAGCTTAAGCAACCAGATCTGGATTTCATGAATCAATTTATCCTCGGCAGCAATTAACTATTGGGATTTTTTCTTTCGCGGTTTACCATTAAAAAGTACTTACTTGTTCCTTATTAGGAAGGACGCACTGGTGAGAAATCCACGCAAAATGGGCTAGTTTGAGTTTGTCTTCCCAAGAAGTCTTGGCGCTTTTCAGTTTCAGGTAAATCCCAGAGTAGATCGCTGCCATGGGGATAGCACAAGGGCCTCCAAAAGGGCGAAGAGACACGACTGAAAGAAACCCCAGAGACGGCGGTAGGACGGGAAGGCGGCCCCGCACCCACTGCCCGAGGCCTAGCC